TCAGTGTTTTTCTGCTGTGATCCATTTCAGCCCTCTGAAAGGGCTCTCTTGATTTGAGAGTTAGAAAGTGGTCACCAGCGCGTCATTGTTGCTGGTTAAAATGAGAATTATTGCAGTTGGGCCTGTTTCAAGCCGTCATCTGTCAGCCCTGAAAACGCTTCATAATAACACTCAATTATGCATTCTGGACCGAGTTGCTAGGTGACGAGCAGCCTAAATGGTGCTGAGAGCATTCAGCGGTCACTCCGAATGGTGGGCTGACAGAAGGCCCGCTCTCGAGCCTCAGACAGACTCGAAGAGTCACATCTGGTGATCACAAGGCGACCCTCGAGCTGCTGGACGGAGGGGCTGGTGGAAGCCCAGCTGCTCCTTCACTTCCTGAGAAATGCACAACTTTAAGTGCAAAGTCTAACGTTTATGGACTTGGACAGTTATGCTTTGTAAGACAGAAGTACAATTTATATTTAATGTAAAATTTATCAAGTGCTGCTGTAAAGATTCGTCACCCTGAACACTTTTCTTCATTAAGTATCAAAGTTGAAAAGCTTACATTTGTCTGCCATCGTCATTAAACTTCATCTACTTTCCTTCATCTCCATTACCTCCTAGTTGAAGTGCTGCAAGTGCTTCTACCATATCTATCCTCCTCCTTTTGTTAAACAATGGGGAGTTTCATGGCCGTCGTCTTGCAGATCTCATTTCTGTGCAGGGTTTTTCAGGATGACGTTTTTCTTGTCAAACCTTCCTCCTGTGAGCCGGAGCTTTGTTGTGTTTCAGAGCAGATCTGAATCCAATCAACAACAAAAGGAAACAGACTGAACATCAAATTATTTCTTGTACGCAGAGTTTGATTCCTCTGAATAAAACGCTGGAGAGAACCTGGGGACGGGTCTAATCTCAGGTGCGCTCCCTAAAACAAACCCAATTTGCTGCAGGTAACTTATTCCAAACAAAAAGAAACCGTCAAAAATCTCTAAAATGCTTAAATTGTTCCAGATGAGTAAAACATTTTGTGCTGAGTGGTTGATGAATCCAGCTATAGCTCGAAGCACATTTATCGACACAGACGGAGCTAACCTTTCCAGCGTCATGGTTCATTTCTCCACCAAATTAATTCTTTGAAGCAGGTTGATAACACGGTGAGGTCGCGTCAGTTCACGCTGTCACTTTTATGTACATGGAGGTTTGCACAACACTGACGTTACAAAACCCACAGCCCCCCACACCTGAACCAAACGGCTCACCTGTCGGCCTCGATGAACGACAGCCAGAACAACTCCGGATGGAGGGGCGGCTCTGAGACTCATGTGACCCGATCCTTTTTTAACAAAAACTGATAAACCTGGACCCCCACACGATGTGAATAAACGTCGTTTTCACACCTGATAGTCCGGTGGACTCGGTTCTATTGGGGACCACATTCAGAACATTTGTTTACATTGTCAGCTGGTGCGGTTCTCATTCACACTGCACTGAGTCAGTCGACCTGTTCCCCCGCTCGCCTGTGGGGGCGCTGCACCAAGAACTACTGAAGGAAACGACACAAAAACCTCTGAAGAACAGACGACTTCTTCAGGAAATAAAAACAAAAATGGAGCGGCATCAATTTTTAGCGGTTTCAGGAGTTCTGTTTTGTCATTTTTCAGCAATGGACTCATCATGAGCAGGAGAAGAGGCAGAAGACATGGAGGATGTTGTTTTTCACACAAGGCGGCTGACGGCTCCGTATGAGGTCAGAGAAATGCACGTTTGTTTGCCCTGCGCTGTACTCCACTTCCTGCTTTTGGAGCGGTCTCCGGTCCGCTTGTATTCACACTGCATTCGAACCGCACCAGAGTTCACTACAACCGAACCGAGACCTTGGTTTTTAGGCGGACCAGAGTTCGCTTTTTTGGTCCACACCAGCGTTCGATTGCGCATTCACACCTCCCCAAACAAACCAGACTTCCTAGGCAACAGACTAGTTTGATTAAAGCGGACTGATCAGGGCTGGTGTGAACCCTCAGATGAGTCCAGCTGTCTTCTATCAAACCACAAACAGTCTTTGTATATTTAACATCTGCAACAAGAACCGTTCAATGCCACGTTTACAAAACCGATTCATATCAAATATATACGAACAGTTTGTATTTTCATCAATTCATATTGAAAGTTCTCATGCTCTGGTGTCCATCTGCTGTAACTCCCACTATTTCCCAAGACCGTGACGTTCTTCTGTACTGAAGAAGCCCTCCGGATAGAGGGCGAAACGTCTCTATAAAAAAGAAACTGTCCAGATGACCTGACTGACAATTATTGGATTTGATACCTGGATGATTGAGCATGAACTTTGTTGTTCTTCTGTAAAGCTGAACAAAACTCAACTGCAAACACTGAAAGAATCAAAGATCCTCTAAGACGAGTTGAACCTTGTGTTTGAACGACGAGCTGCCTGTGTGACTTCCAGAATTAAAAAAGCAGTACAAAAACTTAAAAATGTTTCGATCTCCATTCTTTTTTCGGCTGAGCGCTGTCGCGGTTGCTAGGCGACAGGACATACGCCGACGTAACTTTGAAGGCTAGACCTGTCCCAATTCACAGCCGCTAACTTCTGGTCTACGTGGTCTTTGAAGGACCCGACCTACGTCGACTGGGAAGGCCGGGTCCTTCGAAGGATGCAGCCGTTGGATTGGGACACAGCCCTAGTGTCATTTTTAAATGTAGCTCTATCGTCCCCTCAGTGGCGACACCTGCTGTTCAGGAGGGCGTCTGCACCGAGTGTAATCTGGCATGATTAAAATATGTCAGTTTGTCTGAGGACCATAATCTGCACATCTCTCCGAGTGCTCTCAGTGTCCTCACACAACCACAGCTGCATCTTGTGACGTTATGACCTCTGGTCACATGAAGGAACGCTGTTTGAGAAAAGGAACTTCTTAGTGAGAACACTTTTTGAGGTTAATAGCTTTGATTCCACTCTGGAGATCAGCGCCATTCCAGGTGACGGCTGTGATTCAAATCAATCGATCTCCAATCTTTTTCAGATGCTTGGTAAGCCCATGAATGTTTCCTCAAAGTGAGTTTTGCCAACGTTTGCAGCTCAAACACAACACCACCAGAGGAAATTAGGTTATGCACCCATGTGGCATTTTTCCTTCAAAGCCAACTGGAGCTAAAGACAAAACAATTAGTTGGTGTGAGCGTGAACGCTGATCAAACACTTCCCTGCGTGGCGGGCAGTAAATTAGCAGTCTGCTCTCATCAGTGGAGACAAAGTCAGCAGTTGTTGCTGCAGCGACCTGCAGACCTCCAGTACGGCTGCCGTATGTGACACTGAGCACTTTAGCTGCTGCCTGCGCGGTAAAATATATATAATTTTTATTTTAATTAAAAATGCAGCCTGCACAAAACATGACAACATATTTACCTGACTAAGGTAAAGCTCTCAGTCCATCTGGTAACAAAGAGCATCTATTTAAACAGAACTATGAGATTTAATTTAAGGCAGTTTCCTGCTCTTTATTTTATTTTTTACAAAATACTGAATGTTGTGTCAAATAAAAAACATACCGTACCTGCCGCCGTACACGTTGCATCTATTATGCATCACCGCCGACTGCCCAGAAATGTGGGCCCGTGTTGTGCCAAAAATCGATTGGCTGCCAAATGGCAGCCGCCGGAGCGTGCACGGGAGGACTTTAACAAGAATTTAACAAGATTAACACTTAAAACAATTATTTGTTTGCTCGACATTATAGTAAATGTGTCAGTTTAACGTTTCCTTAATAAATGCACTTCAGTGGTCAAATCAGCTGGGCGTCGCAGTGAAATGAAGCTGATTTGATGTTTGCTCCTGGAGTTCCAGAGCAAGACGAAGGTGCTTGGTATGGCAAGCCAAATGTCTCATTAATAGCCACTTTTACCTATTAATGAGACACTTGGCTTGCCAGATTACTCGACTGCCCTCCAGTGGCTTAAAATGGTAGTGTTCAATATTTTCCATGTCAGAATGAATGAAATTGTCAGATCTCAGAAAAAAATTTGGTTATAAATATGGAGAAAACATAAATAAGTCGCTTCGCTGTATAAGTTGTAGGCATGCCGATTTATGCAAAAAGGTGCGAGTTATACAGCAAAAAATACGGTACATAAAAAACATTTTTTTAAACCTGTGCAGTCACGAGGCTCGGAAACAACAAAATTTAATTTGAGAGCTGAATCTGTTCTTAATGAAACTCCAGATCCAGCTCGTTATTTTTGTATGATGCTTCAAAGAAGTCAGACGTTTTGTCATTTAATTTCTGCAGTCTTGATAACGAGTTCTCTGAACGTCTCTCAATTTCTTTCTACGGACGTTGGCGGCTTTTCACACATTTTAGTCCAGTTATCAGACCTTCACTGACTCAACACTGACCTTTGAATCATCGGTTAAAACAACACCTAAACAGAAGCGATGAACTCGTGTCCATGCACATCAGGCATTTAGGAACGTCTCAGGAGGCGCTCTGTTGGGGAATCTGAGTAAAAAACCCACGTAGGCAAAGTGCACCAAGGAGTCCCGACAAGATTCAAACCCGGGACTTTCCTACTGTAGTTCAATTTAAGTCACTGTGTCGCCCCTTGAATAAAACAAATGAGTAAAAAAATTAATAAATGCAATTACTTTCAGCAATAAAATGAGTATCATAAAGCCATGTCTTAAACAAGAAACAAAGAACATCATTATTCTTATCCTACAGACACAAGCCAATAGATTTTATTCTGGCTGGATGCCAGGACAAGGACAGGATAACTGGTGAGACCGACGTGAAAAACAGACGATGATGAGAGGAACAGGCACTCATAATTTAGTTTAAATGCTCAACACTGTCTGATAAAGTCTTCATCAAAGGCTCTAGATCCAAATTTCAAATGAAGTTTTCACATGCCCCCCCCCCCCCCCACACACACACACACACTCTGCCAGTCTTACCTGTAAATGAGTATGTCATCTGTAGAACTGTTGTACTGGATCTGGTACATGCGGACTCCTGGGATGTGGTTTTGAGGCGGCCATCTGATGGTGGCGGAGCTGGAGGTTAGCTCCGACACACTGACCCTCTGCTGGTCGGACCTGGGATGGCCTCCGCTCACGTTGGATTTGATGGACGTTGGGATGTCTGAAGGCCCCGGATCTAGTTCCACTTTGGGGTCGAAGTGCGGGGAAGGGTTGACGACCAACTCGACAGGGGCGGTGGCCTCACCAGCTGCGTTGGACGCTATGCAAGTGAACTTTCCAGAATCCTTAAAAAGAGCAAAACAAAGAAGAAAACATGTTTAATCAGTGACTGTACCTAATAAATTTTGCTGGGCGTTTAATTGTCTCAGAAATGATTGCGATAAACAATAATATTGTTTGAAAAAAAATTCAAGAAGAAATGTTGGGTAATTTTTGTGTGTAGTACCTTTTGTGACCACTGGATGTCAGTATAAGACTGTTTGAACCGAAGGATGGACAGTGAGGGAGCGAGCAGCGTGTCTCTAAGAAAAATGGGAGGGAGGCACCTTGACATGACATGGGCTGTCTCTCTTCGGTTCTCAAAATGGCGGATGCTCGGTGGTTTGAGCTCTTTAGCATTTTTCACACAAAGCTTTTAATTAAAAAAATCAATAAACAAGTTCTCAGCTTCTTTTTTCAGAGAAAAACAACTTTTTAGACGAAGGCACGAGTTTCAACCGCGAATTTTCGACAAGACGGAGGTTTTCCCTGAGGTCAGCCTGTTAGTTTAGCTCGTATCTTAGCTTCTCAGCTTAGCTGCTTTTAATGTCAAAAAACGCAATTTTGGACGTTAAAATTTATTTTAAAAAGAAAAGAGAAAGGGAGGGGTCAGTGAAGAGCACCGGAGTTGAACCTTTTGTCATCCAGTGTCTTCAGAAAGAGAGAGACATGAAGAAACGATAAAGCCGATAAATGAAAATGAGGTCGATAATTTTCATTAATCATGCGATTAATTGATTTATTGTTTATCGCGACAGGCCTAATTGTACCCATGTTTAAACAACTACAATGACCAGAAATTGAAACTGAAACTCTACTGAAGCCTTTTAATACTCCTCTGTTGTTTTAATTTAGTTGTTGTTACAGCTTCAGAGTGTGTTAAACCAAACAGAATGTCCAGTTATTCATTAATACAGGGGTTCCCAACCCTGGTCCTTGAGGAACACCATTCTGCATGTTTTAGTTGTTTCCTGCTAAGGCACACCTGATTTTATCCTGATGCATGCTCAATAATCCTGATTTTAATAAATGGGAGATTACCAGGCTTCTGCAGAATGAGAAGAAGTAATTACATCAGTGAATCAGGTGGAAACTAAAACATGCAGGATGGTGTTCCTCAAGGAACAGGGTTGGGAATCACTGCATCAGCGCAAAGTATTTTTTGAGTTCTACAAGCCGAAAAACAAACTAATGGCAAGAAAAATAATAACATGAAACACGAGTCAACTCCTTGAATGTGTCTACCTTGACGGAGGCCTTGAGGATGTCAAGTGAACCGTTTTCATAGCAGATGGTTCTGGACGTGTTTCCGATCAGCTTCCCGTCAGGACTGACCCAGTGAGTCGAAGGTTCAGGATCCCCGATGGATTTGCAGCGCAGGCTGACCTCCTGACCCTCCATCACAAACATCTTGGAGGTGTGCCGAGTTATCATCGGGGGTTCACAAACAAACTCTTCCTGTGACAGCAGAAGAAGAAAAATGTCCCCACGACCTTTTTACTCAGTAAAAGAAACGTGAATGGAAGTAAAAGTACAAGAGAAATACATGTAGAATGTTGGATCATTGGATTTAAAAGATTTTTTGTGGAAAAAATACGATAAATTTGCACCTGATCTTTTCAGGGAGACAGTTTCTTTTCATTTGAGATCTGACTAAATCTACAGTTGTGTTCTTCCAACGAGAGGAATCAGTTGTTTCCACACAAAGACGAATCGATCTTGGACGTTTTTAGCCCTGGCATTATTCAGCCCCCCACCTCTGCTAGCACCTCAGCCCGTGCAAAGCCAGCCAGAACCTTGGTGGAGTATTACTGGAAGGCTAAGCGGGGCGTCCAGGCCTTATCGTGACTTACTCCTCGCTCCTACCACTCTGAGTCTGAAAACCTTTTCAGGCTTGGATCTTGTTTCCAGCAGAGCTGATGGCTGACCCGATGACCACTGGACTGCAGCTGCAGATAAACCACTGCCGCCTTCCACTTGTGTTCTGTAAACTCCAAACTGTTCCTGAGAAGCTCAGAGGAAAAAGAATGAGATGAAAGAAGTTATTCCCCGACGTGAGGCCTACAGAATGTCCTCTTGAAGAAACTTTAACACGTGTGAATTCTCTGAGCACTGATGAACAAAAAACACCACGTGACACAGAGGTCTCTGGTTCAACCCCTTCACAAGGCTAATCCTTTTACTCCACACTGCCTCTCCAAAGACATCCACATCTATTATCCAAAGTGAAGCAAAGGCTTGTAGTACATCTTCTTTAAGATAGCACCGATTAATCCCATGTTTATCTCAGGGCTCCTCCATGTAGTGCTGTGGAGTCGTAGCAGCCTGGAAGGGTCAGCTCCTGAAAATGTGCAGGTGAAGCCCTACATCACCCCCCCCCCCCCCCACCAGGAACAACTCCACTGATGTTATCTCAGGAAGTATCAACACAGTAGTTTTCCAGCATGCTGGTTACTCTGTGTTTGGTTTCATCTTTGTTTGGTCCCATCACGGAGAGAAGACAGGGAACTGGAAATACTCTCCGTCCGTCCGTCCATTCATGGATTTTGTGAGCTGTATGGCTGCATGCATAAGAAAGGTTCCTTTTGAAAAGTGGGTTGCTACGTCAAAATCCAAGATGGTTGCTGCTTTAAATGTCTGTCTTAATATTGCTCAAGAGTATAGTTTCCTCAAATGACTGGGGTGGCCAAAGAATAATCTATGGTGGCCAAGGCCACCATTGGCCACACTCACCAGGATCTGCCACTCTGCGCTGCCTCAGCCAAACAAACAAACATAAATAAAAATAAACTATCTCTACTCCTATACACAGTGTAACTCCTGAACATCTTATACCAAAAATATTAAGTTTACTTAAGTCTCTGTTCAACTCCAGTCCAGAAAAACCCTCATGTCAAACACTAGAAACATTCATCTCCCTCAGCGATGGAGCACATCGGCGTACAGCTTGTTTTTACACGCAACACACAACAGTTAGGTGCACAAAGTGTTACGCTCTCTGTTGTGCATGTGGAGTTTCTATGGTGTATTGAGTTACAGTTTGTGGCTGTAAAATATAACGTCACATTTCATCTTTGTCCTGACGTACACAGCGTCATCTACACAAGAATTATGGATTTATTGGACATGTGAAGAAATTAAGAAGCAACAATGAAAGATGACATTTGCCTGACATAAATAAACCATAACATCAATTATGTAGCAGTGACCCAATAAAAACGATCTCATACTACGCTCTGCTAACGATCTGGCTGCACTATGTTGCTGTCGTGTCCTTCTGGGGTTTTTACGTGTAAGAGGCGTCGCCAGTGCTTGTTTTTCTCATTTCAGTAAGTAGAGATGTGTATCATCAGCTCATTTCTTTATGTTCTTGGCAGAGGAACTGTGTAACTACTACGTTGTTCATGATGTCATGAGGTTGGCGCTACCTGTCGTATGATGTGTTCAATAATATTCAACAAACATTTTCTGTTTGTCGTTCATTCCACAAACACGAAGCTGAAATAAACTGAAGCTTGAGCTGCTGTTGTGGTTCAGTTCAGACTTTAAAGACAAGAACACCAGAAGACAAACTGCCAGAGTGAGATTTCCCAGATTCGAGCATCAGAGAGCAGCAAGAAAAGGAGCCAGAAGGTGGTGGTAAGACCATGGTGAGATGTTGACCAGCGACTGACTTTCAGATGGAGGAACTGAAACAAGGCGCTGCTGAAGGACGCACACGTTCTGCTGCAACGTCAAAGACAAAGAAGATGCCACGAAAACACCGCTACAAAGCAGCACATGGCATCTACTGCTGCAGTACTCTGTGCTCAATCCAACACACATGCACTATACATCACGAGAACGCATCGTTAATGTCACCACATACAGCACAGTGGTGCTTAAAGTTTGTGAAACCTTTAGAAATTTCTATATTTCTGCATCAGTTTCACCTAAAACATCATCAGATTTTCACACAAGTCCTAAAAGTAGATCCAGAGAACTCAGTTCATCAAATGAGACTAAATATTAAACTTGGTATTTTATTTATTGAGGACAATGATCCAATATTACAGATTAGTGGTAAAAGTATGTGAACCTTTGCTTTTAGTATCTGGTGTGACCCCCCCCAGTGCTTTTAGTCCATTCCTCCGTACAGAACAGCTTCACCTCTAGATGATGGTTTCCTCACATTAACTGCAGCTTCAGGTCCTTCCACAACATCTGGATTGGATGAAGGTCAGGACTTTGACTTGGTCATTCCAGAACATGAACTTTGTTCTTCTTGACCCGTTCTTTGGTAGAACCACTTGTGTGCTGAGGGTCATTGTTGCTGCATGACCCACCTTCTCTTGAGGTTCAGTTCATGGACAGATGTTCTGACATTTTCCTTCAGAATTCTCTGATATCATTCAGAATTCATTGTTCCATCAATGATGGCAAGAAGTCCTGGTCCAGATGCAGCAGAACAGGCCCATACCATGATACTAACACCACCATGTTTCACAGATAGAATAAGCTTCTTCTGCAGGAATGATGTTCTCCTTTCTCCAAACATAACTCTTTTCATTTAAAACAAAGTTCTACTTTGGTCTCATTGTCCACAAAACATTCTTCCAACAGTCTTCTGGCTCGTCCACATGATCTTCAACAAACTGCAGACGAGCAGCATGTTCTTTCTGGAGAGCAGTGGTTTCTCCTTCAACCCTGTTGTTCAGAGTTCTCCTGATGGTGGACTCATGAACATCAACATCAATGTGAGAGAGACCTTCAGTTGTTAGAAGTGACCCTGGGCTCCTTTGTGACCTCACTGACACTCCTCGCTCTTGGAGAGATCTTTGTTGGTCCACCACTCCTGGGGAGGGAGCAATGGTCTTGAATGTTCCTTCATTTGTCCACAATCTGTCTGACTGTGGATTGGTGGAGTCCAAACCCTTTACAGATGTTTTGTGACCTTTTCCAACCTGATGAGCATCAACAACTCTTCTTCTGAGCTTCTCAGAAACCTCCTTTGTTCCTGCATGATCCACCAACATGTTGTGAAGATCAGACGTTGGTAGATCCTGTTCTTCAGATCAAACAGGGTGATCACTCACACCTGATCATCATCATTGATTGAAAACACCTGACTCTAATTTCACCTTCAGAGTAACTGATAATCCCAGAGGTTCACATAATTTACCACTAATCTGTAATATTGGATCATTGTCCTCAATAAACAAACGACCAAGTTTAATATTTAGTCTCATTTGATGAACTGGGTTCTCTTGATCTACTTTTAGGACTTGTGTGAAAATCTGATGATGTTTTAGGTGAAATTGATGCAGAAATATAGAAAATTAAAGAGTTCACAAACTTTCAAGCACCACTGAATGTGCATGTCACAAGACGTTTCACAAAACGTGCACGTTTTGATTGAAGCTTGATCTATTTCTTTCTGCTTGAACATCATACAGAGACAAGTTTTCCCTCCGTGTGCGGTTAAGAACTAGGGTTTTAAACTTTTTATTTTGCCACTTGTACTTTTTTTGCTGACAAGCCTCCAGACGCTTCTGATGAAACTAATAACATAAATATATTTATTTTACAAAAAAAGAATAAAACTCATGTTCAGATCGGTTGAGGCCAAGAGTCGAGCTGCAACTGTTTTACCGTTGCCTCTTGTGGTTTAATCACCAACCACAGCTCTGCTTTCTTCTTTTCAGCCTCTGCTTTCTTCTTTTCAGCCTCTATTTTCAGAGCAAAATGTGATTTAGAGACACCTGCTGGGAAACGGCACACAGTCAAGGAGTTTATACGTCTGTTTATGGTCTGCAGCAACACAACCTGGTGAGATGGAATAACTTGGGACTGCTTATTCTTTGAATGGAGTCACAAAACTTCACAGGTAAAATCCAATAGATGTCAGAACATGTGATGTGAAACATACGGTGCAGTCCATCACACGCACTAACGTTTTCTTTCATCGGTGTTTATCTGTGCTACTCTAACGGATGCAGAGCATCGAGTCAGGACATTTTTAAACATCCTCCATGTTGACCATCACTGTGCTTCCACCTGAGACCTTTGGGCTTTGATGCTTATGATCTGCTGGCTACCCTAGCTTGGATAAATAAAGTTAATAACTGAATTTATTTGCGTGTGAATGTTTCTGTTCGGTGTCCTGAGATGACTTCTGCTGCGACTTGGTGCTATATATAAAGAATCTGAACTGAACTGAATACTATGCTCAGCAAGTCTTTACAAACTGCAGAAGTTAGAGCTCTGATTCAGGTTATATAACCAACTGTAAATATGATACAAGACATTATGCTAATATTTAAATACCTCTTTGTGGCTATTTAGTATTTGTTTGGATACAAAGTAAACTGAAATGACTCCTGATGTCAACAGTAGTTTGGGTCTAATTCCTGTTTTAAATTGACTGCCGTCTTGAAATGTGAAAAAATGCATGTGATGATAACAACAAGAGACACACTCCACTCTGTCTTTATTTATGGAACAAAAACGCAACGATCCAGAAGCAGTGTGTAAAAATCACGTTACGGGACCAAGCAGCTTGTACAATAAAAGCTCCTTTAGCAGCAGCGGCGTCACGGTCCATGAAGGGACTAACCCAGACATGATGAGCTCGGGTAAAATGAAATGGTTTTATTAAATAAATGAAAACAAATGGCCGACACGGCAGCAGCTACTTACAAAACACAGAGGAGCAGGAAGGGAGGAGCGAGACATGTGACAGGGAGTCGGGACGATGAGGCGCTGTTAGCGTGGTGACAGAGACAGTTTAAGTGGAGCGGACAGCCCCCGGGTGATTACTAATTGAAAACAGGTGGTGAGCTGAGAGGGGCTGAATCAACAGAAAGATGAGACTGAAGGGACTAAGTAAAAAACTGAACACTGATGCAAGTGGAGGAACGCTGAGCCGCTCTTGTTGCTTCAGTTCCTTGATGCTTGCAGACACTGGATTCTGCTCCGTTCTCTGAAGGTCCAACCACAACATCTGAGTCAGGTCCAAGTTCTGGGCTTGGACTAGACCACTGCTGCACCTCGATTCTTATTCTGTTGGAGATCAGCTGCTGTTTGGGATCGTTGTCCTGTTGGACCCAGTTTGGTCCAAACTTCCTCTGCCGGACAGACGGACTCACATTTGACTCCTGAACCCGTTGGTCTACAGAGTTCAAGGCCCGCTCAGTGACTGCAACAAGCCCAAACCATTAGCCCTCCACCATCGTGCTGACAGCTGATAAGGCATTTTGTACTGTGGATGTGAAACTCCAAATATTCCAAATGTTCCAAACCCAAGTTGTGCTGCCATGTTCGTTTAGACAGAAGAGATTTTCTGCTGCAGCCCTTCCAAACAAGCCATGACCTTTAACCTTTAACCTTCTAACAGAGGCCTGCAGAGTCTGAGGTTGTGGCTCATTTCTTTGAACATTGCACGGTCTGACATTCTAGATGAATCTGCTGTGAAGATTGGCAGCTGTCTTAAAAGCTTTCTCTGTACAATGAAACTGATAGTTTGGAAATAATCTTTGACCGTTTCCACATTGATGAGCAGCAACAGTTGCTTCTCTGAGGTCATTGCTGATGTCTTTCCTGCCTGGTGTTGTGATAACACACACCTGTACGCTCCACAGCAGCAAGATCTTCTGCTTCCCTAGAGATGGTCCCACTGACGATCAGGTAATTAATAAATTCGATCAGCAGCTCCGTGCTGATACTAAACCTCTTAATAGTATTCAAAATGTGCACGTCTTAGACTTAGATTTAATATGTTGATTTATTTTTTATGGTTTTGTTAAATAAGTTATGACACTGTATCATTTTGTCGGTTGTTAATTTGAGAACGTGAGCAGAAAATGAATGTCCTCCTTCCTGATGTGCAGAGACTTTAACAAACCTCTCGTATGGTCCAGAAGTATTTCCCAGCCAGGTCTCTAGGTGAAGCGCAGGTCTCCAGGTCGTCCTCGCGGGTCAGTCTTCGCAGCCACACCAGCTCACAGTTACAATGCAGAGGGTTCCCACCAAAACTCAAAACCAGCGCCGTGAGAGGAGAACCCTTCATCTTGGCGTACACCGGGATCCGAAGGAACAACGGGTCTGGAGGTATTTTCTTCAGCTTGTTGGACGTCATGTCCAGTCTAGAAGAAAACATCAAAGAATTTACAGCCTCTGCATCTTCCATATCAATAGTGATCAGTTAAAGCTGGTTCAAACTGTATGAAAATGATAGAAAACCAAACAAATTGTTGTAATTCCACCCATATTTAAGTATTAAACCGTACAGGTGCAGCTCATCAAATTAGAAAATCATGAAAAAGTTAATTTATTTCAGTAATTCCATTCAAAAAGTGAAAATTGTATATTATATTCATTCATTACACACAGACTGATATTTTTCAAATGTTTATTTATTTTAATGTTGATGATTATATTTGACAACTAATGAAAACCTGGTACCACACTCTGATCAGCTAATTAACTCAAAACACATGGAAAGACCTTTAAATGGTCTCGGTCTAGTTCTGTAGCTACACAATCATGGGGAAGACTGCTGACTGGACAGTTGTCCAAAAGACGACCATTGACACCTTGCACAAGGAGGTCAAGACACAAAGGGTCATTGCTAAAGAGGCTGGCTGTTCATAGAGCTCTGTGTCCAAGCACAGTAATAAAGAGAGGAGAAGGGAAGGAAACGATGTGGTAGAAAAAGTGTACAAGCAACAGGGATAACTGCACCCTGGAGAGGATTGTGAAATAAAACCCATTCAAAATGTGGAGGAGATTCACAAAGAGTGGACTGCAGCTGGAGTCAGAGCTTCAAGAACCAGCACGCACAGACGTATGCAAGACATGGGGTCCAGCTGTCACATTCCTTGTGTCAAGTCACTCTTGAACAAGCGTCAGAAGCATCTCGCCTGGGACTGCTGCTGATTAGTCCAAAGTAATGTTTTCTGATTAAAGTAAATTTTGTATTTCCTTTGTAAATCCAGGTCCCAGAGTCTGGAGGAAGAGAGGAGAGACACAGAATCCACGTTGCTTGAGGTCCAGTGTCAAGTTTCCACAGTCAGTGATGGTTTGGGGCCATGTCATCTGCTGGTGTTGGTCCACTGTGTTTTCTGAGGTCCAAGGTCAACGCAGCATCTACCAGGAAGCTTTAGAGACTTCCTGCTTCCTGCTGCTGACCAACTTTATGGAGATGCAGATTTCATTTTCAAACAGGACTTGGCACCTGCACACAGTGCCAGAGCTACCAGTACCTGGTTTAAAGACCATGGTATCCCTGTTCAAAACCGGAAGGCAAACTTGCATGACCTTGTGAAGAAGAAGATGTGATTCACCAGAGCCAACAATTCAGAAGAGCTGAAGGCCACGATCAGAACAACCTGGACTCTCAGAACCTGAGCAGAGACACAGACTGATCCACTCCATGACACGATGCATTGATGCAGTAATCCAGACAAAAGGAGCAACAACTAAGTACTGATGATGAACATGCTCATAATTTATGTTCATAATTTTCAATCGGACAACATTTCTAAAAAAAATCATTCTTTTTATTGGTCTTAAGTAATATTCTAATTTTCTGAGATACTGAATTTGAGGTTTTCATTAGTTGTCAGTTATAATCATCAACATTAAAATAAATAAACATTTGAAATATATCAGTCTGTGTGTAATGAATGAATATAATATACAAGTTTCACTTTTTGAATGGAATTACTGAAATATTTTAACTTTTTCATGATATTCTAATTTATGACCAACACCTGTATATTGACCGACAGACATAAGGTTTTTTTTATAGGCCAACCCAAACACACAAAGATGGACAATTTGAGTTGATTTCATGTTTCCTAATCCTTAAAGTGGTCGGTGATTTGTTCTATCTGAGAAAAGGGAAACGTCTTTGGTCAGGTTTGAGCGTTTAATTTCTTTGACCGTTTAATTTCTTTGACCGTTTCATTTCTCCATTTCAGAGGAAAAATAGGCCATGAACACGAGCCCCTGGGAGGTAATTATTTGGAAATAAAAGCCAACATTTACTTTAAAGTCAGCGACTTGGCAGCTCCGGACAGATAAAGTGCAGAAGATGAGAGAAGTAAAGGGTACGGAGGAGGAAGGAGAAACACTGGTGACTCATTTCTTCAAAATGATATTTATGGTTTTGGCGGTGATGTTTTGGGTGGATGAAGTGGGAGGCGAGAGGAGATGGGCAGTCGATCAATCAGGTGGGAGGCTGCGTGAAAAGGTGAGATGGGGGAGGAAAAGAAAGGCCGAGATCAAAGGAGATAATAAGAGGAGTGCTGTAAACGGCTACACTCAGTCAGGCGCCACTTCTCTCTATCAACTCAGAGCTGAAAATATCTGCGACTGGGTTATAAATCTGAAACGTGTTTCCATAACTGTCACAGCAGCTCACGGTCAATTTCAGTCTCACGACTAATTCAGTCATCTCAACCTTTCCCCCAATATCCAAATTTATGACAACAGCGTGATCATAAAGTGCGTTTTGTTTGAAATACGCACACACAATGAACGAAAACCAAACATTTATTTTAAAAACTACAGAGGCCTAGATCTCTTTGCTAGTTTTGGTTTTAATGCGACTTTTTCAAGATCAGTCATTATCTCTTGGTCACTGAGCTAGTTTTATCTTGAGAAAACAAGATATTACCTAAAAACAAATGAGCTAAATCAAAATAGGACGATCAGGGAGAATTTTGTGTTACTGTTGCCTAAATATAATGTTTTTAATTATTTTTGTTTATGAGAAGTGAGCCTTTCCAGGCTGAGAAAAAACTAAACACTTTAACTCTTTAATTAAAACCAAAAAAAGAAGAGTTTCACTATCTTGAGAAAATGAGCATCGTTATGTTGAAATATTGAGATGATCTGCTTAAGTGTTCAATAAATAACTGCATGAAGAGATTTTTAAGCATGTTTACTTTCTAATTCCATAAAATGAGCTTTTCTAAGTCAAAATAAACAAATACAGTTCAAGAAAACAAGTTGAGATGGATAAAAACAAACTTATTTTGAAAACTCACTGAGATCACTTTAAATGTTTGTGGGGCAGCGGTTGAAATAAACTCGTCAGGCACTAGGACCATGCAGCACATGTTATGAAGGCAGCTGCTCCCGCCCCCTTGCAGGCTCTGCAGCTACGTGCTGAGGGGAAGAGTTTCGGTTGCATTTATTTAAAACAGAAAAGACTTAAAGCCGAGTTCTGGAGGAAATAAAACGATTGTTTTGAGGTGAGAGGAACCAAACAGAACTTTGAGGTAAGGAGAAAAAAAAATCTAAATATCCAACCAAGTTAAGTGTTGTCCTCTGGATGGTTTCTTTGTGCTGAATGAATCTAAACATAATGTTCTCTGAGCGTCCTTATGATATATTGTTAGTTTTCTTTGTAAAATTAGGGTTAACTGTTTAAACAGTTTAAATTTTCACTGAAGGGCTTGTAGGCTGTTTTGATGTCATCGTGTTGGTTTCTAATGAGGTTAATTTGAGCTCCTTGTGAAAACGAGTTCAACCTCACCCGAGTTCAAAGGTCACACAGTTTTACAGAAAAGTTAGAAGGTCATGTGTGACCTCAGGTTTGAAAAGACATAAGAAATCAGGCAGGAGAGAGAACAGTCAGCTGACTGACAAAATATTTTTTAAATTTAAACACTGTTAAAATCTCGTCTCACACTCGTGACATGAGTCACGCACCCTTAGTTGATCACGGAGGCCAACGCTCACCGTTTACACATGTACCATCAAATCATCTATCCGATAGTTTCATAGTTCAGTGCCATGTGTGATTTACGTCTCAAAAGCATGAAATTTTCCATCCAAATCAGCAAACCTAGAAAATGTGTTAAAATCCTCAAGAGTTTAAAGTTGTCAGCGACAAACGTGCAATAATTCTATTTCCTCCTTTAAAGTCCTTCCAGAACTGTTCAACAGGGAAGACTTAACGATCAGTTAATAAGTGCTGAGGGCGTCGACCTCGCTGCACTTCACACTATTCAATTATAGGTTTTCATGTGCAGCGCGGGGGGCGGGGGCCGGGGGGGGGGGGTTAATAATGTCTGTTTGTGTGTTAAACTCAACACACACCGGTTGATCCATGGATGTTTCAGCTTCGTGTCCACTGGGGGAGGGGGGGGACAAAGATCCATTAAATGCCTGTTTGCGTTCATCGACCTCGGTTGATATTTCTCTTTTTACTCGTCAATGAAAGAGTTCAGTTACGATTGATTACTGGTAATTGGCTTTACGTGGTATTTTGTGGCGGAGCAGAGGATCGATGCACGCGTGTCGGTGCTGGTTTTTACTGCGTGTCGCAGTGAAACCAGGCAGACGTGCCGTGTTGAAGGTCTAAACGTGTTTTTATGAGACTTCATTTCAACCTCTGGAGAGAATAAAAACAAAAACACGTAAAAATAAAGTAAAACAGCAAACAGTGAATTCTGAACTATAAAATAAATACAACATAAAATAATAAAGACTGAAGCAACAGCCTAAACATTCACATACAGATACAGCTGTATGACAGACAGACAGAGAGACAGACAGCTCTGTAGAAAGACAGACAGGCACACAGACAGCTCTGTAGAAAGACAGACAGACAGGCAGGCAGACA